CCTCTTTGTCCCCTCATCTCAATAAACGAACTGTTCTTTGTGTTGCTTTGATCTGCAGAAAATGCATTATAAAACGAGTCCATTAATAACATTTGTAATATTTATCAAATAAATACTCATTAGATTAGAGAGTGGCAAGGCCTTTCAAGGTGTTCAACAATGGCATAATGAATGCCAACAGGGAGGAAAGCCACCAACAAGATTAAAAAGATAGCTAAAGCAACACAACACATTCTGCAGCTCCTTGTCAAAGAACACACCTATGGTTTCCTTGCACGCACACCGTGCTTGCACAGAAATTATGCAACCAGACATGGTGGGTGGGATACTTCATTTCTACTTTATTTTAGCCCAGATTCTTTTGCAATTCCCTGCACTTCAATCCACTGTGGCTTGGATGTGGTAGAGTTACACAGGTACAAATCAGGCCAGTATTTGGCTCTTTAGTTCAGTAGTTACTTACCGAAAGGTAAAAAGGGACGTTTTATTACAACTTCTCAGCAAGCATCTTGAAACAAGTAGAAAAGCATTATTATGTTTAAGCAGTGCTATCACAAAACCCAGTACATTTAGGAGCTGTCATGGGGCACTGCCTAATCTGAGAACCCCACTGTTCTCTAAATTAAGCAAAGAATTGACACTATTAATGTTAGATGTCAGTATCATTGTCTGATTGTCCAAGTTTGTATTTCAGCATACTTGAGAAGCTACATCTCTCCTCACACAGAGGAAATAAGGAGGAGCTTGGCTGCAAGTAATTATTGCTGTGGAGAAAATGGAAATTGGAGTGATTGGTTTCCCTGGGAGTTGGACCCATGTCTGCTGGCTGGCTGGCTGCATCATAGGACTAGTCAGCATGACTTCACAGTCTGTAATCTGGGTAAAACACAGCAGACCACCTGTGGCTACACTAAGGAGAGGCAGGATTTGCTATCTGTTTCTAAATCAAATTTCTAAATCAAACAGCCTGTTTCCTAACAGTGCACTTACTTTAATTAGTTTATTGTACTTGTGCGATGAGTGGCAAGAGTTATATGTTGGGCTAGGAAATACAGCGTGTATTGCAGTCCTCAGAATATTCAGAGCCTAACAAAGTCTCAGCATTTTAAGACCATTGCCCACTTCATGCTTGATTTCCTTGAATGCCAGTAACACAAAAAAGTGTTGGCAAATTTTAGCTGCAACCTGTTCACTCTCTTTGTCCAAGGAATTGGAAGGAAAACCCCAAAGTTTATGTATCACTGTGTAAACGGAGAAGCAACACAGCGTGCACAGAGAATGGTAACCATGAATGCAGTTGCTGTGCAATGAAAATTACGGGATGCTTGGAATAGAGGTGACAAACCACTATGAAATTGTGTGTTACATATGAATATGTAAGAGGATGTCTATAAACCACAGAAGGACTAAGAGATGTGTAGTATGAGTAACAACCATTGTCTGAGGGGCACTTGCAGATGACAAAATATCCTTCCATGGCATTCCAAGAGATGTTGTACGATACAGACAAGTCCATGGGACCTGATGGGACACACTTTACTCCCCCGAGGGAGCTGTTTGGTGTCATTGCAAACCTGCTCCAATTATCTTTTAAAGGTTGTGGTGATTGGCCAAGGTATCTGCACAATATAAGAAAACATGCTCATCCCCATCTTCATGAATAGCAAGAAAGAGGATTCAGGGAACTGGACCTTATCAGTCTCACCTTGACTTTTGGGAATGTGATGGAGAAAATAACCCTGAAAATAACTTGCAATTATTTTAAGATGGTGTTTGGGAGTAGCCAGCACAAATTGGCAACAGAGAAAACCATGTCTAATGAACCTGATACCTTCCTATGAAGAGCATCTCACTGGATGAGGGGAGACCAGTGGACAGGGTCCCAGACAACCAGATCTAGGTAGTCTGCTCCAGCAGGGGGGGCACTGGACAAGATGTACTCCAAAGGCCCATTCCAGCCTCAGCCATTCTGTGATTGTGTAAAATAGATCTGTGGCATTGCTAAGGACTATGGTTTGTGTGTATGCTTGACACATACACCAAATAAGCAATTAAAATGCATGATGGGATATAATACAATGTTTTAGAAGCGTATATAAACTGGAGCTCTGTTTTGTATTCTGTGGCCCAAGCAGCTAGAAAAGTGGATCTCTGCATACACCATTTAATTACTAGCACAGAGAATTACACTTTCTGTTTGCTCTAAGTAAAGGTATATGAGCAACAGATTTTGAACTAAGTCTGTGATAAACAGCAAGCACTTTGGAGTCCTGAGCTGCTGAAGTAAGTGAATCCCAGGATATTCAATATTAATTCTGACTATTCAAAAAACAACCTAAAGAGAGGCAGATCCTGGAAAGAAAACCAGAAATCCCACTCTAGTAGCTGTGCTTCTATCTATACTTTCTTTGCACTTTGTTGGCTGCTGTCTGTGGAATGGTTTTGTTCCACAACTCAGAAAAAACAGGAAATCTCTGCACTAGCCAACTGGAGGCTACCAGTGCTGTGGGGTAACAAATCACATAGGCTTATTAAAAACAAGGACTCATAGCCACGTATCAAACATATACATGAACACAATATTTTTAGGTTATTTATAAGGAAGTGTCTTGAATGGGCCTGCTTTCCAACACATACACTAACCTGTTTATCACCTTCAAGAACCCTGCTCCAGTACAGCACTACCCCTCTGCCAACAGTCCTGATATCCCACTCCTCTCCAGACCAGACCTATTTTCAGAGTGTTGTACATACTTAGGAATAAAAACTCCAGAGAAGTAAGAGGCCAATTAAAGTGCTATAGCTGCAGTGCTGGGAATATGGCTATCATACTTCAAGTATCTGTTTGCTGTTGTTTTTATGTCTGCGTGTTAACTCCATTAAGTTTTAGCGCACACTGGAATGCTGTGAATGACAAGTGGCAAAAATTGCTTTGAAACAATTCCTTGCTGTGACACTTTAAGAGGACATTGCATTAACAGATTATTTCAATAATACAAACTTCTGAGAGACTGGAAATTAAGTGTTCCAAATGAGCTTTAAATTTAGCACAAGAAGTTTCAGTTTTAATGGACAAAGCCTGTTCCCACTAAATGTACCCTTGTACTGCCAAGAGGGCTTTGAAATAAAATAAAGTGGCAAGTTTGAGGCTATTAGTGTCAGAGTCAGACAAGCCAAGTAATTGTAAATTAAGCTGATCTCGGTATTAAAGAAATCTCTTTGCATGAACTCTTATGTTCCCCTTCACTCTGGAAACCAAAGTTATTCCCTTGAGAAGGTACCTGGCTTCTAAGGCATTTGCTGAAGCATGAGATATACTATAGATGACTGCTTGAATCATTTCCAGATAACAAAGTATCTTTATTTAAAATCTCATCTTCATTAATGTTCAAAGTGCAGAAAAAGAAAATTAAATTCAAAGAAACTTATAAAAGCGTCTTGTAAAATAACAGTACTCCTCAACAAAATCTTAGGTTAATAACTACAGATTAGTCAATAGTCTATAACACTAGACTGAATCATAACAAGAACTGGTTTTTGTAGGATTTCCTTCTTCTGTAAAACCCAGAAGGTATCACTTTTCATTATGACATAAGCAAAGTTTACTAACAAAGGTTTTCATTTAAACTGAAAAGGAAGACACAGAAAATGAACAGCAAACAGTAACAAAAAAAAAACAAACAAAAACTTTTCACCTTTGAAAGTCTATGACAAATCAGGACAAGTCAATAAATTACAGTCTCAATCTCTGAATGGTCTCTTTGTCCAAGTGGCAGCAACAAACCACCTGATCATAACCCTCATGTAGTGTCATGTCTGGCATCCCTTCTGGGTGCTTTGGATGCCTTAGGGCCTGGCAAATGCCAGTGGAGGTCTGGATAACTGAATCAAACTTCTGCTTTAGCCCAGTCATATACTGGGGTTTGAGGCCCGGTGATGGTACTGACCAGACCCCTGCTGTCTACACCAGAGTTTAAAGAGCTGCCCATGCCAGCCCTGACACAGACACACAATACAGGACTCTGTCTCAAACTTACCTCCTCTCAAAGGCAAAAAAAGCAGCCATGAGCTATCAGTACAGCAAGGAGCATGGAGAAATGTAAAATATTTAGTTAGGTACTGAGAGCACTCAAGTAATTGGAGCTCAAGGATCTTCTTGCCTTTACCTGCAGTACTTGAGTCTTCAGAAAGATAAATATAATGTCAGAGGCTTCTGATGACTTTTAAGTCCTGATGATTTGCATTTTAACTGCTTAACAAAAATAGCATTTACTAAGCAGAAAATTATTTCTACTTGTAATTACTGTAACTTCCATTTCAAAATTGGTACAAAATCAAGTTGTAAAAATGTATTTTTAAGGATATGCTAGTGTTACTATTTAACAAAAAAACAGCCAATATCACGTAAATAGTTTTATTCTCAAAAAAAAAGTCAACAATATAAAATATTTTAACATTCTTTCTGTTTAAATATTGGTGACAGATTATGCATTTCCTCAAATAAAGTGCTGTTTTTACAAATAGGTATTTTGTTTTTACTTTTACTGCTGTTCTAACCTCACAATATTGAATAGATAAAGTATATTTTTGGTTACTGAAGAATGCAGCATTACTTATATTTCGTCACATGAAATCATTACATTTTCAATCCGTAATCCTTTATCTGTATCCACTCAATAGAGGCATATTCAGCTTATGTACTTCCCCATGCAGAAGGTGTGACAATTTGTGGTGGCCTTCTTGCCTTCTTCCATGCTTTTGTTGCTCTTGACCATGCCCATGTAGTCTCCCATGGGCTCTTCATCTATGGGCAAGAGTGGAATGAAACATCCATCTTCTTGTATGTTCATCCATTCTTCCTGCTCTTCTTAAACCCAGACCACTGATGCCTTGAACATTTCAACACTTAGGTTGAACTATAGAGACAATCTTTTTATTGTTTTCTTTGACTTTCTGTGGGTTTTGTATTTTAAGCATGTTACTGCAGAAAATCCTATGTCAGTGTAGTCAGAACTAACTTCAAATTTTCACCAGTAAGGATTTGTATGGATTTACTTAGTCGGATGCCAAACTTCACCATAAAAAAAAACAACAAACACTTCTGTTCCAGTAGCTACCTTTTAGAAGAAATGGCGTCCTGTGGTTTTAAAGAGCAGCCAGGAGCTGTAAGAGGGGAAAAAAAAGAAGTCTGAAAAACTGCAATCAGCAAGACTCACAGCTGCAAACAAGAGAACAATTCCACAACTACTGGAAACAGGCCTACATTTCCCAACGCATTTGTTATACCAGTATCTAACTTTGATCCTGTAATTCATTTCATTAACTCATGTTAAGCTGTGTCCTGTAAGGATAAGGTATGAAAAGTCAAACTCATGTGAAAAGGCCACCTACTGCCACCAAGTTTTGAGTATCCCTCTTTTCTCAATGTGCACCTTTCCAGTAATCAATTACCTGAATTCTGTATGATTTTGATATGCAAGTTTGTATTGATTTTGCTCCTATTTTTACTTCTCTCTCTTCAATCTCTAACTCCCTCCTCTGGATGATTTCCACTTGATATTTCTGAATCCAAAAATGAAAAGTTAATACACAAACAATTCTGTATCTGCAGATACATATGTATCTATCTATCTATATAACATACTATAATATGTAAGAAGAAACTGGAAGACCAGTATTTCCACTAACAATAGACTGAATGGCATCATATTCTTTTTTCATCATAGGCATAGCTACTCTTCATTTAAACTTTTTTTCTGGAGAATATTCTGTTTATTCTTTTGATATCTATGTCCTGCCTGTGTGCCTTTGTGCCTATCAGATGTTTGGATTTTTTCTTTTCTTCCTACCTGTCAGAAGTGTTGTTTAGATGGGGGAGAGCAGCTGGATGCCTGTACCAAGTGACAAGGCTCATTTTTTTCTTTCACACATTTCAATAAACTTGGCATTAGAAGGCAAACTAAGTTAACTGGTAGTTAGCTTTACCTCCAACCAATCTTAATGGTTTTTCTATCATAATGAGTTTAAGAAATGTCCTAGCAGAAAAAGATTGTGTTCTTCTGAGTATAAATCTTGGATGTTCTCTTGCGTTTTTCATGACACTTTTGTGGAAATAGCAAATTGTGTTGCAAGTCAAAAATGGGAAATGGAACTTCCAGAAGTGTTTCCATTTTTTATCAGAAAATTTAACATGTAATACTTCCTTACACATATATGATAATTAGCATATAGGATTTTATGTCCTCCTCCAGAGGAAATTATTTCAGTTGCTTTTCTCCCCTACTTTTTTTTTTTTTTTTCCATAAGAATCCACATAAACTTTTTTCAGCTTTCCATTTCTGATTTGGCAAGTTTGTGTTGAAATTCAACTCTGTCTTCTTCGGTGTCATTTTTTTCAATTAACCTGCAGACCATTGCCAGATCTGTTCAACCTCTTGATTGCACTCACATAATGAGAGCATGAATCTTGACACAGCTCCCCAAAATAAACTGAACAATTAGTCCTGGCAATTAGTCATTCAGGAAGTCAAATTTTCTTTTTTACTAGAATCAGGTAAGCAAAAGGTCACCTCAAACCACAAACAGGAACTTTTCCTGAGATATTATTTGTTAAATCCCATTCTCTCAGAAAGCTGGACTTTATGCTGCCACTTGCTGTTTCACTGAAGTTGGAATCCAGACAAAGGAGAAGCATTTTTCTCCTCAGAGCATTCACTATGCCTCATGCCTCCATGGGCTGGTCATCTGTTTTAAATGGTAAAGCAGAACAGTAATTCTGTGTTTGCTGGACACATTCACTGGGCTATAAAGAAGTCTTCCTAGTAGTTTCTCTTATCAAGGATAGGGTGCATTGTCAGTTTTCCAATATGTAATAGTAGCCAAAACTACCAAAGTGTCAAAACCCACCAAAACATTCGATCTTGGAATGAATATTTTTATCAGAATTTTCTAAAAATTACCAATTAATTTCCATTAAAAAAAGAGATGGAGGGAACATTCTCTATGAAAGTTCTGCTTGCCTACTCAGAATTCATGGCGCCTCCAAACCATGGCTTACAGGTCCAGTAACCTGTGAATCATTTTCACTGCTTTGCCTTATGCAGGTCAGGCAAGGACTGGAGCACGGAATTCACACAGCCTAACCTAGTGTCCCTGGCATGGGGTGGGGAGGAAGGATTCCATTTCAGAAACCTTCTTTACATGGGAGATACCTTAAACTGAAGTACTAGCAAAAATTAAAATACACAAATACACAAAGCAAGTAATAGCAAATTTCTAAGGCAGATGTCCTAGAGAAGCAGAAAGATTAAGCAGCTGAACCGTTGTACAGAGCACAGGCTGTTGTTTAAATTATTGCATAACTGAGATGTGATAACAGTGATGCAAATCTTTTTAATGGTTCAACAGGAAAGGCAGGGAAACAGTGACCAGCAAGATGGACAGTAATTACAACCAGATTAGTAAAAACTGTAACAATCTGAAATTTTTTGTGGAAAACAATCAAGAAGGGATTTAGAAGTCTTGCCTCACCAACCTACTAGTATTCCTTGAAGGTGCCAATAGTCTCATAGATAAAAGGGGTCCATTTCATGCTTGGATTTTGACAGGGCATTTCACAAGGTCCAAGGTTAGCCCTTAAGATAGTAAGAAACCCACAGGGTAAAAGTAAAATTTCTCATGTGGAAAAATAACGTGTTAGGGAGGCAGAGGACAGAAGTTTGCAGTAAACAGTGATTTTTTTCCACAGTAGAGGGTTTCACCACTAGTATTTCATAGGGATTTGCCTGAGGATATTCAGGATACGAACAGTATATTCAACATATGATTTTGAAAGGGCATATAGAGTGAAGGGACAAACCTTCCTAAGTTATCCATGTAAGTAAAAGGTAAACAGAAGACTGGCAAAAAGACTTCATGTGACATCTGTGCCTAAACAACAAGATAGCAACATAATTTGGTGAAGATAAATATGAAGCAATATGAAGGCAAATGGAAAAGAAGATGTATGTTTATTTATATAAAATTATAGGCTGTGAGCTCAAACTCAGTAGATCAGCTGGGCTGTACGAGGTAATTTGAATTAATACCAATTCAGTCTTCAATTATAACAAACACAGCAAAGTACCAGAAATAACTAGGAAAGGGCAAGAGAATGGAAAGCAGAGAACACAACTGAAAAACAAACATCACTCTGTCATGTAAATCCATAATATGCCTACATATTGAATACTGTATGCTAGGCTGATATCTCCCAAGTCTAAAAAGATAATAGCAGAAAAGGAAAAGAGGTTAGAAAAACTATAGTATAGAGAATAACAAAGCAACCTATAAGCCTTCCCTTTGGAAAAACACATGAATGAAGAAGAATATCACAGTGATCTGTAAAATCATGAGTGGCATGGAGGCAGTGAAAAGAAAACAACTGCTCATTGTATCTTCTGATCCAGTATGATGAAGCAAAAGAAGTCAGGACATAGCAAGTCCACAGTAAATGAAAGTAAGTAGCTCTTCATATCAGTGTCAGATGAGACTGGATGAAAAAGTTGAACACAACTGAATGGACCCTGGATCTCACTTGGTACAGGTGCTCTTATGCTCTAAAATATTACATATTCCTGGAAATTACTTCAAGTTCCAGAGACTGCATAAGGATTCCACTGCTACTTTTTACAGTAAAAAGCAGCTTACCTGGTGCAGGAACTTCTTTTAGCTACATGTTCTCTTCCTCTTCACTGTTTGTTTCTTTTTCTGTTTCACAGCCAAATCTATATCATGGAGCTCTTACACACAAAAACCCAAAAACCAGATCTCTTATGGCAGCCTTCTTGCAGTGTCTTGTCAAAAGCTCAACAGGAGCAACTGCTGCCTCCATTATTACAACAGGATATACTCCCCAACTCTGAGCCATCATTCTTTTCCTTTGATGTCTTCAAGACATTTAAGGTCAGAAAGTTGCTTGGAGACACATTACACCTCTATGCTTCTTTGGTTCTTGAGTAATTCCACTTCTTTGCACCATGTAATCAAATCCCAAACAGCTTCTGCTCACCTAGTAATACCTACAGAAGAGGCTCTTCAGCTCTGGGATGTTACCAAGAGACATCCAGAAGTTCCCACACATGCTGACTATGCTGAGAATGGAAAGTTGCACAGTGCATACAGGGACACCTGATAGTGGCTTTCAGCCAAGCAGACTACACAGAATACTGGAAATACCCCACATTCACTAACTACCCCAGCAATTCCCAGTTTTCCCCAAGACATCAGCAGGTCAACAGTTAGCACCTGCTTTCACATATCTAGTGAAATGCAGCTGACTCAGATTAAAACAACTGGGACTAGCTCATTATTAAGGTTTCCTGAAGCATACAATACCTGAATTATTTAACATAACCCCTAAAGAAATGTAATTATCTTGTGAGTGAATGAAAGTAGAAAAATAAACAATTGAAGAAGAAGCACTTTTAACATGGTGCACCTCTCAAGGCTGTTCAATGGCTTTCGCTGTTTCTACTAAAACACAGATACAGAAGTACACGTGGGAATAGGTTGTGCCCAATGCTTTAATCTGGAGTAACAGATGAGTATCTGCCTTTGTCTCAGGCAGCTGGCAGGACAGAGATTTGCAGGTTTTTTATCTGAGAGAGTAGGAAATGTATTCAATTACTACAGGTCAGCAACACCTTCCTGAGTGTTTTGGTTACAGACAGTACATTTTAAAAGGCAGTTTCTCCAGTTTGGCTAGCAGGTAACACTGGTGCTTGGAATACATGTATTCCAAAGAAACCAACTATAGATAATTCTATAAAAATACCACCTATGTGAAATGATTAAATGCATACATACATAAATATATAATTAACACAGCAGCCTAAAGCATTATGCCAAATTGTAAATCTTGAATATATTTATTCTACCTGATCATACTAAAGTGTCTCCTACAAAGAGAACACAAAAGTTAATTATGTATCATACAGGAACACCTCTCACTGATGCTACATATATACATACAGACACTATAGACAGTATGCTGTATACTCTGGTTTGCTATACTTACATCCATTTTCTGTGTTCAGTAATGCACAACAAAAATCTTATCATTATTTCAGATAGTAATGAAGGATGTATAAACATCTTATAGATACCTCTACTTTTTATGTTGAAATCTTCTCTACAGTCTCAGCAAGAGACTTCATTAACCAGGAAAGCAGCTCACTGGCTTGTTTGTCACATTCTATCTTCCAGCCAGTATTAAATAAAATATCCACACATTTGGACACTAGGAGGACTTCTTTCACAGAAAGAGTGATCAGACATTGGAATAGGCTGACCAGGGAGATGATGGAGTCACCATACCTGAAGATCTTTAAGAAAAGACTGGACATGGCTTTCAGTGCCATGGTCTGTTTGGCATGGTGGTGTTTGGTCATAGGTTCGACTCTATAATCTCAGAGGTGTTTTCCAATCTAACTGATTTTTTGATTCTGTGATTCAACCTGTAATTGATTTTTCCATTCTTTTCAGGTGCTACTTACATTGGGAATGACCTGGCTGTCGTGTGTTACTAACACTACTCTCAAAGGAAGAGTGGAAGTTGTGTATAGTTTCTTGTAAAATCTGTCTCTCTCGACCCTGTAAAAGAACAATAAGATAAAATAAGGTATTCTTAAATTTCTGTTTAAAAGAGAATTTATTAAGAGCACACAACAAATGAGTCAATATGTGTGTCTATGTCCATACACTTAGAAATAGTAACAAATCCTTACCTTACAGACATATATAAAAAACCCTGAATTAATATTTTCCTGAAATTAATAACAAATCCTTACCTTACAGACATATATAAAAAACCCTGAATTAATATTTTCCTGAAATTAACAGACAACAGTAGAAATATTTTTATTATATTTTTCTTCATGGTATATCTTAGTATGGAACATCATCCACCTCCCCTAATTTTTAGCCTCATCACTACTGTTGATCTTGACTTAGGGAAATTGTGTTTTTTGTTTGCCTGAACTTTCACTATCAGAGAGCAAATGGACCTCATATCTAAAAAAGCTGCTGAAAAGCATCAGCAAGCCTAATCAAAGACATGTTCCAGTACAAAATCCCTCTGCTGAGAGCTGTTTACTGCACATCATTCTTAGAAAATTTGTTTATGTTGACATAAAATTCAAAGGCAAAGAAAGTGTAAGAAATGAGAGAAGTGCTATTCACCTAATCACAGAGGAATCAAAACCTATTATGTTAATCAAAGGACACCTTTCTTCTTATACTGCATTCTCTAGCTGCCTATTGCAGCCAGCTGATTCTTTTTAGCACTGCTGAAATCAATATTCAGAAACTGCAATATTGCTCATGTTTACAAGTAGTTTGTTCACTGGCCTAGGAAAGAGTTATTGAAAGAGAACAGGAAGTGCCACAAAGGAAGACCTTTCACTAATCAAAACATGGAACACTTTTGTTTGGAAAAAATTAATTTAGCTTTTCTAACTAACATCCACAAATTAATTTCAAAATGTATGTTGAACTAATTATATAAAGAAACCTTGAAATAATTTACTAAGTACACTACTTAAAAATGTACCTTTCCTGCATTCAGTTCAGAAATAGCTGCCAAAATTTGCTGCCTTGATCCATCTGTTTTAATACCCAGCTCTTTCAAATCACCATCAGTAAGTGTGAGGAAAGCTTCCATATCTACCTGTATATTAAAAAAAAAGAAGAAATAAAAGAAAAAAAGGTAAGACAAATTTACTTATGCAAAGATTCATAACTACAGGTTAAAAGTGGTCTGTTTGGTTTCTTTATTTGTAGACTTAATGTAAATATTGTGCAAAAAGAATTTTTGATGAATTACCAGCACCAAATGGTACATACTTTACCACTCTGTTGTAAGGCTTCTAACCTGCTGTTAATCATTCAACTAATCATGATAGTACATCAAAAATATTAATGGATTTTTAAGTTTTTTCCCATCAAGTTCTATTAAGACAGAATATATAGTCTCCACAGAAATTCCTCTGCCCACAGTAGCAGCTACCTGAATAAACTTAAAGTTTCTCTCTTTTCTTCACCCTTTCCCCCTAAGTATTTTTGGAATTTCAGAATATTGTGTTTACTTTTCCAGAGTCTCCTCATGAAAAACCTAGGTCTTGTTCATACATCAGTTTTTATTCTAACAACATATCCATAAGGCTATGGTAAGAACAAATATCTGAAACTTTTCATATATTGATATAACTTTCACACACGAAGCATATTAATTTCTAGACAATGCTCCCTTGCCTATCATGCAGGGGAACAATAATAACCCTGTTATTACTGTGATGAAGCTAAATTGTCTGAGCTTGTGCTGAATTTTGAACTCTGTGGCAATGTCAATTTAATGCATGTTTGTTCACTACCCTTTTCTTTGACCAAATATAAGCACACAACATTTGCTCACATTTGATCCTACCTTAAACAATGTAATGAATTAATTTTACTTATTTTCAGCAACATTTCCTTTCATTGTATCCTTCAGCAAGTCAATGTCACAGTTCTCATCTACCACCATGCCTAAGCTCCCCAATTTAGTTCTCCCATTGCTTATGCAGAGCAGATAAAGAAGATAAAGCAGCCATCTCGGTGATTCACACCCTGCTGTTCTCCTTCTGAAAATGAGGTTCCAGCTGTGATTCTAGGGATGATACAGTATGTCCTATGAACTGTTTAGCCACACTGAATACAGACATATATAGAAAAAGCATAGTGTAACATCAGAGGGAATAAAAACCCCTATGTATAGAAAAGTTATAGGTTAAGCATAAAAAGCTCTGCTATTTGCTCTTTTAGAAAAGACATACCTCCTGTTCCTCAAATATAGGCTGATATTTCTCAAGTGACAATTTTTTAAGGATGCCAGTCAGCTCATCTGCAATAACAGGGAAAAAAACAAAACAAAACAAAACAAAAAAAACACCCATAGATTAGAAAAGATTTTAATGATCTCAGCATTATAAATAGAAAATACATAATAAAGCCTATATTTCCCACAGTCATTTATGGTAAGAAAAAGACAACCCCATTTATTCTCCATTAGAAATTGAAATATTGGCTTATTCTGTTCTCACCTACTTACATATACTGTAATTCTATCTAGTCTCACCTTGCTAGGATAAATGCCATTGTATTGCCCTTTCTACCTCATTAAAAGGATCTTACAAAACCAAACCAGTAAGGACAAATAAGGCACTTCAGTGCCTAAAATGTGGGTGCTTGGCCCCAGATGGCTGATCCAGATTGTGCAGGTTAGATAGACAGCAAAACTTCTCAAGCAGGCAAGGAACTGAAAGGCATATTTCTATGTGATTATCCAGGAAGGCAAAGTGTAGAACAAGCAACCACACACCTGCTCATTCAAAACACTGACACAGCATAGATCTTTCTGAACCCTCTTCTCAATGTGCCCAACATCAATGCATCTTGGACATAGACAGCTGAAGTTCAGCTAAGATGAAAACTGGACAGAATTTAAGTTTTACCAGCTCACCTTCCAAGGCTAAGAGCACTGAGTATTGTCCTTCCTCTCAAAGTCTAAGGAAATTTAATGTTGCAGGACCTGACAGAGACTCTTTCCACACATTTAAAATCTAATTAGCTAAAAAGCTTAACTGCACTTTCAGAATAACCTGACATTACCTTTCTTAATTACACACTACCTCTCTCAGCTAAAGTTTTTTTTTATTATTTTGCTGTCACAAGTAACTGTTTTTTCCCCTTAAGAACCTAAGTGGTCAGTGAAACTAAGAAGTCAGAGTCAAAATGAAGAACATGAATTATTACATTATAAAACAAAACTATATTTAATCTTCTGCATATAAACTCACTTTCATTTTAAAGATCTCACTAATCCATTACCAAATATACTTTGCTTTCATTTATTTCATATCTTTGTCTTTTGACTCTGCCTTTTCTTTCATCATCACTAGAAACATGAAAGAGAAATAAATCTCATACTTCTCATACTACAGCTTCAAAAGACATGAAGTACCTTGAGATACATACACTGCTTCGTACTATTTTGGAAGTCTTTTTTACATAGGAGAGTCCAAAGACAAGTGAAGAGAAAAATTCTAGTTGAATCTCATTTTCTGCTAGGGTTTTGTTGTTTTTGTTTTTTTTTACATTAATTTCAACTAACTTGGTATGCCTAACGTGATTTGCAAAAGTTGACATGGTCCCAGACTAAAAGCTTTAGTGCCCTGACATGAATCCATGGGAAAAAGCTATCAGTTTTAAAAATGTATCATGGGAACTTCTCCACATTGTTAGATGAAAAATATCATCTTGGAGAAGGAAAACAGAATTCTCATTAGAAGATCCTTAGATATATTATTAATGATTTTTTCTTACAGGTTCTTAGTTACCCTTCTCACTTTTCATCATATTGGTGTATTTAGAACTGTAGGTCATGATATGGGTAGAAACTTTCAGGGTGTCTGAGCTCAGTCTTATTGTCATGAACAACTATAACACCAAACACCTTTCACACATAAGAGAATGCTTTCAGGTGTAGGCCCTTCATGTTTTCTCTTCCTCTACCCCTCTTCCAGGTCCTGTATTATTACACTAAGGCTATGGCCTACAGTTCTAAGCACACGAATATGATGAAAAATGAGAAGGGTAACTAACAACCTATAAGAAAAAAACATTAATAATATATCTAAGGATCTTCTAATGAGAATTCGGTTTTCTAAGATGATATTTTTCATCAAACAATGTGGAGAAGTTCCCATGATACATTTTTAAAAATTATAACCTTTTCCCATGGATTAATGTCAGGGTACCTGAAACCTCTCCATTTTACTACTGTTGCTTGACATGTTTGTCCTTTGCTTTACCACTCTCGTTTGCTCTACACTTGCCTTGTCTCCTTGTCTCCATCCCTGGAGCAAGCCAAGGTTCTTGGAGCTCTTACTGCTTTTTCCATGTTACTCCTATTCAGCACTTCCTTTTATACTACTCTATAGAAGTAAGGTAGGATTACCTTTCTCCAGGTTTTCAGAGCCTTCTTTCACTCTAACATGGTTTCGTCTTTCTTGATTCTCTACGTCACTGGCTCTCAGAATAGGGCCAAGCTGTTGATGGTCCACCAAGTGGTTGCCTAGAGAGAAACAAAGAACACTTCTGAATGCTGCTGCCTACTGCTCCTTCACAGTAACAGTCAATGCAAATCAATTTTCTTAGCTGTTTAAGTTCACTCGAAAGAAAAGCTAACACTGCAGACCTTCTGTACACTTCTGATTACTGCTTGGCATATCAACATTTTACTCCTGCTGCTGAATCAAACCCCAGTAAAAGAAGCCCTTGAATTAAAGGAGCACTTAACTACAAAAGCTTATGAACACAATGAACCCAGAGCTACTTGGGTTTCTGACAAACAATCTTTTCTCTGCTACGAGGCAACTCACAGTATCCTAGCATTAGTGTGCGGCCACAAAACCAAGCTTCGCTGGGTGAGATGAGAGCAGCTCACACCTTGGAACTTGCTTCGTTATCCAACAGTGAGTTCTCTTCTTTTTATGTATCTCTAAATTGGCAATTCTTATATTACCAAGACATCATTATAAAATGGCAATAAATTTGAAAGGATTTGCTCGAGCAGTCACTAGAATATGTTAGAGCTAAGCCATGAGAAGAGGACAGAAAAAGGGTCAAGTATTATCTGTCTTCAGTGTCAAATGGAATTACAGTGTTAATGGACAAAGACGGCATAAGTGAAAATAAATCAAAATCAATACAGACAATTTCAGAAAAACAAAAATAGTATGAAGTGCCTCCATTTCTTATTTAAAAGGTTCTGAGTCATGTTATTTCCTTCACTTCTTTGAAATAGTTACAAGAGAAAACAAAGTTATTGATACCCTGTTTCCAACACAGTAAAGTGACTTTTTGAAAGTTGTAATTTATACCTGAAAGTCTAATATAAAAGGTATTAATCTCACTAGAAAAGTAATAACATTATTATTCTTTCTTATGACTTTAAGTTAAAAAGAGGTTGTAATAAGGTTATTTCTGTGATTTAGAAAAATAAATGCTCTACAGCTCTTAACCAACTTCATGTATGTATGACTTGCTATGGATAAAAAATTTATATCTGTAGTGATGTGCTTCCCTGCATTTACTAAGAAAAAAAAATATCTAGCATGGAAAAAATGCATTTTGTAGCCTCAGCAAAAGGTGAAAAACAGGACTTAAGCCATGAAGGGCAAAAATGTGGCCATGCAAGAGTGGCCTACCTATTCTATGCTAGCTTTGAGGTGATACCAGTCTCTCTGTAAACGGAAAGAATCACAGGTTTTGAGAGAGAAAAAGGCAGTTAGTGCAGGAACACCATTCTCACTGTAAGAAACACTGTAATATATTTTCTAGAAAGAAGAGAGACCTCACTCTCATGCAGATACACACAAGTCCAGTATAGCTATGGCTTTAAATACATAGTATTCTTGATGAATGAATCTCCTGTAATTACAGGGAGCTACTCACCATCCTCTGTAATAGTACCACTGCTGGAGCCATTGCTCTTGGCATGTCTATGAGAAGAGACAGAAGACTCTGCATTTTGAACCTTAGGAGATGGGGAAGGTGATGGAGAAGGTGTGAGAGTTGGTGATGTGCTTTTAGACGTAGATGAAGTCCCAGATGGAGGTCTTTTGTTCATCTCCAGTTTTTGCTGCAGTCAATGATACAATCATTTCAGTTAAAAAATAATCCAAAAAACGTTTACCTATACATGATGCTTCATTATTACTTGAGTTGTATATCATTTCTGAGAGCATGTAATCACAACTAGAAATTTCTGCTTGATCTATATTGAAATAATTGAAGCAATAGTGATTTTATCCCAGATCAAAGTCTGTCTCCTCAGAATTATCAAGAAAAATACATTTATTAAGGCTGTAATTTTGTAATAGGAAAATTATTTCTTGTAAAGCAATACTGCCCACAAGCACTACAATTATTCTTTTTCTAAAAGGACTATCATGGTTTATGTACAGGTGGCAGCTATGCACCACACAGCCTCTCACACACCTCCCCACCTCCCTTGCAATGGGCAGAAGCAGAAGAAAAACTTGCAGTTGAGATAAAAACAGTTTAATAACAGAAGCAAAATTCATTACTTTGACTTGAAAATAGGGATTTTCATTCAGAGATTTAAATCTCGGGTAAAGATTTTCAAAGTGTATGAGATGCCAATTTAAAGTAGCACTTCATGATGGATTAACCAGAAACATGTAGCAAGCACAAAGTAAGTTTTAGGCACATTAAACCTCTTGCTGCACTGGAATGGAAGTTTTCTGCCAACCCTAAAATTTATTATTGCCTAACAGGAATCAACTGATTTATAAAGAATTTTTCAAATATTTAATTCATTTGGAGGCATGGAAAACAGGAAAATACATGCGTTAAAATGGGTAATAAGAATATACATATGAACACATATCAACAGTCTTTCCCAGAAACAGTCAATGCCCCTCATCTCCTAAATTCTTTGATCTACATATACATTTTGATGTCTGCATTGTATGATCCAAAAAGAAGGTAAATTTTTACTGGATTCCAGATTTCAGAGTTTAAATACCTTTTTGTCACTCAGGCTACTACAACAAACTGATAAAAAAGTTGATCGGTGTAACAATGTAAGAAATGAGAATGACAGTGGTTCCCGTCTTTGCAATTTTGCTTCTGTGCAAAAACGGAACAGTGGCATAAATTGAACTTTTCTAGTTAGTGAAAAAGATGCAGATTTAAAAGATAAAACTTATTTGAGTGGTAACAATCTTCCATTACTCTATCCTATGTCAGAATGTAATACTTCCTTAGCCCTGCACTGAATTGGCTAGAAGTAACGTAGCATGATACAAACTTGAGAGCTCCCTGAAGAGCATCATGAACTCATTCCAACTTTTTGTCCCAAATTTCCATCTAACTTGTTACTGGCCATTTGTGTTGCAGGATGGTCTTCCCTCCTTAGCACGCTGTCTGAATTTATTTAAATTACATCATTCTTTAAAATGTTTTTTTGTTTTTTGTTTTTTTTCCTCTAAAGCTTGCACCATCTCACCCCTCACGGATAAGTTTTGCAAAATTCATCAGTGTAATATCACTGCATTTTTAGATCAGCTATTTCAATGTTTAGACAGCATGATCCTCATGGGAGGACACAAGCCATTTCTCAATGGATATAGACTGATACAGTAACCAGCATTTACACTGCTGATTACAATAACACACTGCTAGCTTCTGTAGCCTGTATGCATCCATATTTGATTGTGTTCTCCCAACAGAAATCTCCAAAATTCACCTCCATTGTGTGATACATGAATACCTATAGTGAGATCCACACGATGACATGTTTTGTTACTGGTGGACAGAATGAAACTTGTCTAGACATCTAAGCAAAGGGCACTGAAAAAGCTGTTGCCTTTCCGAAACAGTGGCATAAATGTTGTTTAAAAATCTTCTCAACAGTATAATGAACAGCCTTTCCAGAAGATGATCTGCAGCACACTGCACTTCACTACTCTTTTATCCTCTAATGTATCCCACTGTGAGTGGAAACAGTAGTTAAACTTTTTAATGTCAGCACTGCTACTACAAAAGGCTATGGGACATGCAGCCCAAAGCTCACAGGCACAGGTATTATCTCTTGGTGGGATAATTAATATAACTGGAGAAAAATGAGACTTTTGGTGGGCACACAAGGAGCTCTTCTGAAATTATTTCCAAGCTAAAAACAAGCTGAGAGGACATGCTGAGAGTTTAATTAAAACATACTGGTCAGACCACCTCTGAAAGAAAAAGCATTTGGTAGCTGCTCTGCAGAGAAGACTTTAATGAGGGAAGAGTATGATAAAGGGGTTTTGTCTACCAGAAAAAGACAGGGAACATTTATAACTCAGGGAGCAGTTACACAGGATAGAAAGGGAGGAAAGAATACCATATACCAAAGAACTGATTTGAATCCTCAGACTCTGGTGGTCCAGCTGAGTTAGAAATTTTAGCTCCCAATCTCATCTTTGAAAAGCAACCAGCAGTCCCTCCAGAATCAGGACTGACAGATCACAGACAAAGTGACTATTCATGGAAACTGTTTCCGCATTGGTAGCTGCACCTTTTCTTTTTCTGATTTTTGTCTTCCAGAAATTTCCATGTAATTTCTGAACAACTGTGCAATTTCATTTATCATTTTTATGTACTTATTAAATACAAATATTGTGTACTGTTCCCATATAAGACATCACAGAATGAGATTGCAAGAGTATTAATTTTATACTCTGGACATTTTTGTTTTCTCAGGCAAAATTTGAAGAACCTCACTGAAAGATGTAAACACAACAAAACAAACTGAGCTGCTTGGAGTTCACATAAGCAAAAGTTGGAGAAATTTGCTCTTGCTCACATATTCTAACATTTCCAGAATACCAGGCATTAGAATATAAACCCCAAATTACATGTTTTCCTTCTCTTGCTCTCTGAAATGCAGTGTTTCCCTATGTAAACAAACCCATCAGTTTCTCAATTGTGTATCACATCTTCTGTTATGATGTTGCTTTATATTTTGTGCCTCTGCAGATCGTGAAAATTTAAAATCTTAATTGTCAAAAATGTTGTATAAAGCATTTAAGAACTTCAAAGTACACACACACAAAAGGGCAGGTGATGAGAGTAAAGCTATCCCAGGGAATTGACAGCTAAGCCAGTACAGATAGTAAAGCCTCAGGAGCAAAACTGGATTTTGGTGATGGCCTACTGTTTAAAAATAACACCTTATGGAGCAGACTGGTTACATGTATCATCCTTTATATGTTATGATATAGGATATGTTGTGGTCAGCATATCCTGGTATAAATTATGTCATGCTCTGCATTCAGACTGAGCCTTTGAAGAGAAACTAGCTAGAGAAAGCAACTATACCACTTCAGGGAAAAATCCAGGAATAACTAACATAAAACACTGGACCTGGACCATGAAAGAAATAATGAGAAACCATAATAGTGCAGATCTACCCTAAGATTAAGCATTACATTTACTGGTTTTTAAAATATAATGAAATTAATAATAAAGTAAAATGTTTTATTTTTAGGTTTCATCTTCTGTGGACTTGCACTTAAAAGTAAGGTTTGTAGAGCTGAAAAGCTGCCACTAACATAAAAAGTATTCATTCCTTTTTGGCTGTGCAACGTTGTGCACCAGCTACGCATGACTTAGATATGACCTATTAGCCAATTTGGAAGTGCGAAATTTTACATTTCCCATTACCTTTACAACATGTCCATTGCCGACAATCTGAGCACTCTGCAAATCCAACATGGTAGATGAAGGAGTTGACTGGACTGGACTGGACTGTTGGCTGGGTTTCTGTTCAGGTAAGCCTGCTGCTTTTCTTCTTTGGGCTGCAATCTGAGACAAAACGTTATCTGCACTCCCACCTAGAATAAAAAGTAAAATAAACCCAGTAAAGGAAACCATAAGTTTGAAATGTCTGTTAACTCTCAAACATTAACTTTCATTTAAAAACTGACTGGATGAAGCAAGAGAAAATTGCCAGGTTCAGGTGTCTCCAGGAGCTTCCAGAATAAAGAACACTAATCAATTGCAGGGAGGCAAAGAGGGAAGCCAGCCTTGTGTATACACACACAGAGCTGATTTTCATTCCCTTGGACATAGTTTTCATGAGCCATTCACCATATTGTCTTCAACAACCACTAGGTACAATGCATGCCTTTGGTTTTAATTGAAAATTGATTTTTATTTTAAACATAAAGTTAACAGAAAGTTAAGCAACATGCATAGGAGTCAGCTCTATAACATCCATGGTGCAATGAGCCTGCATCCACCTGATCCACCATGGGTGGATCTAGTAAAATGTGCATGACATTGGGTGACCACTGAGACTTCTGTAACAGATGCAAGGCTCTTCTTCCCTTATGTAGGTGTTTGAAGTCCAATTCCACATCCACTAAATTTACAGAAGCTTTGCTTGTGCAGTGGTAGGAGTGCTCAGAAAAGGTTTAGTATCTTCTATCATCATCACAGTTTTCAACTGAATCAGATACAAATTACTTTCCACCTGATGGTACAAAAATGGTACCTGATCTATTATGCAGTTCTCCTCCATGTCTGTTAATTCCTGCAATGTTATTGGAACCACCAGAAGAATGGGGAGAATGGTTGAAGTTGTTGGAATTTGAAGGAGATGCTGGTCTTCTTGTAAACGTTGATAACTTGACTGGCCTAGTACCTTTGCTAACAGATGTCTGGAAAACAAAATGAAAAATAATTTGTTCTTTCTTGATTGAGAAAAATAAAGAGCAAACATCAACCACTGTTTTATTTATCCCAAGTTCTGAAACTTCCGCTGAAGAACAAAGGGGATATCAGAAAGAAGTTTATTTTACATATACATATATACTGAATGCATACTTATATAAATATATATTTGTATACAATGTATTTATTCAGTGAAAGAAATTACACCATATTAAGCCATTAATTCTTCTTAATCTTTGGCCAATACAAATGAGCATGTATGATGCACCTGAGACGTGATATACACAAGTACTGTGAACAATGAGGAAGAATAAAAATTATCACATGTGAAATTTCTTTCCTGCAGAATCTTGGCTTTGTCTCTACCATCTTACAAAACAGCTACCAACTTCCCATTCATCATATCTCTATTTCTTACAAACTAAGCTGCAAGAAGTGATATAAACTTACTTTCCACCAGTTGCATTTTTATACTCCCTGCAATCTAAACAGCCGGCTACACTACTGAGTTTAATTAATTGAGGCACTACTGATCTAGCTATACACTACCCAAATCCTCAGCCACATCCTCTTTAATTTCTTTTACACCATTGTCTGCTGCCAGCCATTTGACATACGAGCTTTTGAAGCTCAGCTTTTTCATGTTTCTTAACCTGTTGCTCAAATCACTACTTCCATCCCTGACTTACTGTTCCCTCCTTCCATACCCTCAGCAAGACTCAGCAAGACTCTTCTTTCCTCACAGGACTGATGGTTAGTTCTCCCCTACTTTCTCTGTTCCTCACTTTATACACATGCCAATTATCCAGTTACATTATTACAACCATCTTTTTTTGGGATGATTAATACTTGCCTTCCTGTTATCTTCCTGTCACTTCCCTTCTAATACTCTGCCTTATTCCACCTAAGTCACCTCTACTAGCATTAAGCTATCATCCACTTAAAAGAAGGAAAAGAGAAAAAAATTCCTCCTAAATGTCTTCATTGTCCCATTTCTAGAACTGACATTGAAATGCTATTCTGGACTAGTCCTCTCTACATCTAGCTACTACAGTGTACAGTTAGGGGAGTAAGCCTTTTTATCCAACTATGAATGAGAATGCTGTCAAGGTTGTTTAATTTCCTATCTCAAGACAAACCACCTATTTTTCTTTTGGTTTGCATTTTCACTGAAAATATTATGGAATCAGGCAAGCTCCTTCTGTAAAAAAACAGAAACAATCAAGACTTTTTCCAGTCTTTTACAGTACTTCCAATTTAAAGCTGTGTGCCTTCAAGTCCACTTGATCACTACTTACTACAATTTTATCTATTGCTAATCTTTCAGAATATTATGTCTGTATATTGGTCTTACTGATATTTCTTCCCTCCCGCTCAGTTCCTAAAAATTGAGCAATTTTCATTCTTCTTTTCTGTCCCTGCTCTTTTTCCAAATCAGAGCAGTTTCTACCACACTCTTCATGGTTCTGGTTAACAACAAAAACCCAAAACAAATAAAACAGACATACAACCCCCAACAAAACAAAATACCAAACAAAATTAAAAAAACCCAAACCCCCTCAAAACCAAACCAAACAGAAAAAGTTCTTTCACTTTGTACAGAAATTTTGTTCCATTATGTTCCTTCCACACAAATGTGCATTCTTCCTAAGCAGCACTGCTTAAAAGGAGAAGCCATTGCTGAGACAGTGGGTTAAAGGCAATTTCTAATCAGAAATAGATTAGCTCACCAGTCAGCAGGGCCCAGGCATAAAACAGTATTTTTACACACATTCAGTTTGCTTACTGTATCAGAGTTCCCACTGCTGTTAAAATCGTGCTTGATTGCTCTCTGTGGCCAGGCAGTTCTCATTTGTTCAGCTTTGCCATCTTTGCCGAGTCGGGTTCGGTCAGAATTCCAAAGTTCAAAGCTTGAGGGTGGTAAGAAAGGTGGTATCACTGCTTTCAGCTTATCACTGGGCAGCCTGGTAAATGGAGCACTACTCCTCAGCTGAGACAGGGGAATAAAGAAAAGTGGAGGAAAAGAGTCACTTCTTAAAACAGATTACTGGGAGCTGGTGATGGAGTTTCAAAGTTTTAAGTTAAGCAAAAAGATGAAAACACATTTAAACAGAACAGAAATGAGACACAGAATTACTATTTGCGAAGAAGTACAACACATAATGAAAGACAAACACCAAAGGACATTGTGGCACCCTTCAGTACTATGCTTATTCATTTGATACAATGAATATAGTTCATTAAGTGGCAGAAACTGTCTCTTCCTTTACTGGACTGAATATTGCTCAAGATGACTTTAACAAGAATAACTATCAATTTCCAAAGAAATAACAATGTAGTCCTTTCTGTATTCCCAGACAGGATGCCTGGAAACAGTGAGTAACTCTATGTTCCTGCTGTATGTGTACTGCAGAAAGAGATAAAAACACCACAACTGATTTTGCTCCCTGGAGTTCTGTCAGTCAGTCATATCAAAAGTTCTTACAAAAGAACTCCAGCTTCTTACAGAAGAACATAAAGGTAATAACCAACCAAATTTAATGATATCACCAGGGAGTAAGCTGCAGGGGAATATAAAGCTACAGAATAACAAAAGAAGAAATAGAGTAACACAAATACACCTCCCAAATTAAATATTTAATAGTTACCTCTACTAGTAATTTCACACCTCCATTGTACCATGTTCCATCCATGTTTTCTTCACTTCATACTGCTTGTCAGCAACTAAGCAGCTGTTCCATCTATTTTAATTGCTGTTCCATCTATTTTAATTGCATTTAATTGCTGATCAAACAAAGGTATGGGTAACTGTTGAAGGAATTCAGTACAGCTTCCATATCACACTACTTTTAGAACTTCCTAGTCTAAGAACTACTGGTGTATCAAGGCCTGTCAGTTCCTATCTAGTGACTATAAACAAGCTCTTTTTCTAAAAGTGACTTGGACAGGAAGCAAAAAACTGTAGAAATTATGGGAGCTACATGACCCTCTGAATTTGGCTGAAGACACCAAGAACACTGCAACATACCATAGTTGTCAATAATTCATCATCCTTTCCGCCTTTTGAAGTGTTTGCACCTGAAAAATACATAAATTATGTTTTATTGTTTACATGTTTCTACTTTTGTTTCTAAGAATAGCTCATTGTTTTTAAACAGTCAACAGCTTTACCCTCAGGAAGCACAGAGTATGAAGATTTCCAGTGACACTGTCATGCACCTCAGCTAAAGCCAAATCTTACCCTGCATTGCAGACAGTGGGGGATTTTCATGGAGAGCTGTACAATTTCAGTAGATGTGCTTTACAAGTTGAGCTTTTTCAATTTCTCTTTCTTCTCAGAATTACTTATTTGTTTAAATAAATTGGTTTTCATTACATAGATTAGTTTATGGAATATATTAACATTTTTCATTGACCTCTGTGAATTTAATGGTTTTCACTAAAGAACAGTAACATGGTTATATTAATATTTTCCTGCTTAAATGATGCTGCACTCAGCATGATCAACAGTAAGAATGGACATCTCTTTTTCTACAGACTGTAAATACGTTTTTTCACTTATATGAAGCTAAAGCAGAGCTAATTCAGTAAATCAGAAATAGCATCATCCTGACTACCCCACAAGAGCTCATTTCCCACAAGACAACTCTGCCTTTACCACTAGCTTTGTTATTTGTGGTCCAAGCTGTAGCAGCATCAAGGTTTCCAGAGGTGTCTGTATCACTCTGTGAGGCTACTTTTATAGTGCAATTTAATGATGGTTCGGTCTCATCCGGAAAAGGCACAAACTCATTAGAAGGAAACCCATGGCGCAATGTCTGAGTCAACTTCAGCTTGCGGAATCGATTGGACATCCTGCTCCACCAGGACTAGATGGATAAGAAGACACAACAATTTAGTTCCAAGTAAAAGAAAAAAAAGAGGAAAATAAATGTATAAATAAGCAATCCTCTCAGCAGCAATAACTTCACCAAGGAATTTTTGAAGTAAACTGAAAAGCAATGTTAAGTGGTTTGCAGTTACCAACAGAATCCTTCACTGTATGTGTAATAATTCTCTTCCCGTATTTTAACTGGCAAATATTTTAAATTGTTTTTCCACAGTATATAGAAGGCCAAAGTAGATAGAAGTATTAGGGCAATTTGAATAGGGAATTTTTGTAGCTATACAGCAAATATTTAATTTTCCCATTAACTCCCAATTTCACCGTCAATTTTTACTCTCTCTGGAATCAATGAGTGCCATCTCTATTTTCTGCTTTTTAGAGGTGTGCATATGAGCTTATGTAATATGCATCAAAGCTTCCTGTCAAGATTTTCAAAATCAGTGGCAAACCTGAAGAGGTCTGATAGGATTTATGTCAAACTAAAGATTCATAATCCATACAGTGCTGCTATACAGATAATTTAAACCAGACTGGAAAGACTACAAACTGAAAAAGAGCAAGGCAAGGAAATAGCAGCTGTGAAAACAACATAAACCTCAGGACTATGTAAATATAACCTCCATCCATCCAGGTATTGCACCAAAAACTATGTGGCTTCTAGGTAAATCAGATTATAAGTACCTTCTGATTATTTCATAGTAAAGTTTCTCCTTTCCTTTCTGGAACACTTTATAAAAACTCATGTTAAAGTGACAACATTTTATGGTAGATAGGTAGCTTTAGGTGATAGCAAATCCAGGTAACAATCCCTTCTCGCAATACATATTTCTTCTCTCTTCTTGGCATTTAGTATTTTTCAGCTACTCAATATATATGTTTTTGCAACTTTCTTATCCTTTGCTTATTAATCCTTGTAGCAGAAGACCATTAAAAACGTTTTAGATCTGCACAGAGCATTAGTAATGTATAGAGTTCTCAGACCTCTGTATCTCTTTGGTGTCACAACTAATAACGATTTACATTACTTTCAGCAACAAAGATCTGATGAAAAAAGGCAAGAGAGACAAATAGTTCTGAGAAAGCAATAAACCCCACAGTTCAGTATTTATTCACCTTCCAAAAGGAACTGGGATTTCATCTAGTTTTAACACAGAGTACAATGAGCTTACAAAACAGAGTGCTTGAACTTCTTGGTTTTGGTCACTTGCTTCTGTAAGAAAGATCACTGCCCAACATCTCTGTTACTCCTACTCACAGTGCTTCTGCTTCCTTAATACACACCTACCACAAACTACCCCAAAATGGAATAAGTAGAGCCACTATGTTACCAGACAAAAAACAACTGCTTGATGACAAGAAAGTAATGATATTGGAGAGGTTCATCTTGTCTTCTGGTGTTCACAGTCTGATCTCTGGAGTTTTTAGTTTGCTGTTGCAGGAGTTTGCAGCCTCTCCATATAACCCTACCACAACACACATGTACAGAAGCTGTAATAAAGGGCTTTAAATAGACTGAGGCATTCAAGTACCAAAAATTAATTTCTGGTTAAAAATAGAGTCTATAAAAAGGTTGAAATCTAGCAGCAGTGGGAGAAGGCAACAGTATCAAAGAACTAGAAAAATGGTGTTGCCATTTCAGAAATACCTTAGACATTTATAATACTAGGACTTAAAAAGTAAGGGGAAAAACTGAAAATCTCTGCCCTCAAACAATTTTAATCTAAAATAGAAACTGAATGTGAATGCTGAAGAGGAACAGGCAGGAAGAAAAAAAAAGGAAATAAAATTTTTGCATATGGAAAAGGGACAACTTTGTTTTTGAGACTGTTGGGAGGAAAGGGTTAAAATCAAATAGAAGTAGAGAAGGGTTTCTACTCAAAGTGACCTTTCAGCTGGGAATGCTAAAAATGTAGGTGTGGAAAACTCCATTTATTATGCCTAGTGTTGTTCATCCTCTGCCTGACTGGAGAAGCGGAATTCCTGTGTAGATGTAACACACTCTCACAGACACACCTGAAGCCTTTTGTTACAGGATGGACTGAGCCTACTGGAGCTTGGGTCCCTGTGTGTTTCTGGCACCCAGCCTCTTCCTTGAGGTAACAAAATAAATCTTCTCCTTGCATTTTAGCTGTGGCTTGGTGGTTGCTGTGGTTACCCACCTATTCACACAGAGGCCATGAAACGGTTAGAAACAAAGCAGTTAAAAGTTCTTGTGTGATAGAGGTGAACAACGAGATCATGAATATCCACTACATTATCAGCATGTAAAGGAACAAGGACCAGTAACACACACAAATTAAAAATAAAAGAAACACATCACAAAATAAAAAGTCTACGAGTTAACGACAAAAGTGATCAAAAGGTGAAACTGAAAAGCGTTTATTTTTCTTAAACTTCAAAAGCAGCCTACCTGTAATCAGTTATTTTAGTGTGAATACCATTAATAGGAGGAAGGCAGGAATATATGTACATTTGCTTAACAGAGTAAGAGTATATAAATGAGCTTACACAAATTAAAACCAGACAATATTGATTAAAATTACCCCAGATTAATTATAGACAACATAACCTCTGAACAAATATTGATTATCTTCAGTTAAAGAGTATGGAAGAATTAATAGAAATCAGGCAAAAGGCAAATATACAACTACTGAGAAAGGAAAATCTGAAAATTTACTGATCAAAATGCTTAACATGAAAAGGCATAACTGAAAAAACTTTTTTATGTCATCACAGTTCATAAGACACAGCCAGAATAGGTTTGTTGAAAATAAATGCTACCAAATGAATCTCTTTTTGACAGAGTAACCAGTCACATGAGCAGAAGGGAGGAAAAGCTGGAATGCCGTTTGACTTTAATAAAGCTTTTATTGCTATTTCATGTAGCATTCATCAAACAATTGAGAAACATATGCTTCAAGTAAAATTAATAAAAGGAAAAGACCACAGCCAAAAAGTGAGACAATTTGCAAATTATTTGATCTCAAACTGGGAGAACATACTTGTCACGGTGACAGGGGTGGTTGGATTTTTTTCCCCAGGACCAAGACTGACAATACAGAGGCTATTTTCTCATGTTCAGGCTCAGTTGTTTATTCTTTCCTTATCTATATTACATATATACAGAGTACAAAGAGCTACATATAGTAAGATAGAAAAGTGCAAAATGAAGAATCTCTCCAAGGTCTTTTATGTTGGTCTTTATATTGGATTATTATCCAATAATCAAATGCCAAGTAAATTATTTCTTTTAGTGACCCATTGACCCGACACCTGTGTGCTGCACTACGGATTCTTCCATCCAATCACTCATTATTACCCAAAAACCCTGAGAAGAAGAAGATGAAGAAGGAAGAAGAACAAGAAGAAAAGACAACACCCCAAAGTCTCCATCTTGGATTCACTTATTAATATAACTAAAACTCCAAACTCTTTTTCATCCAGTGATTTAAGAGAACTCTAACTTACACACTCACATTGTTAGTTTCTTTGCTTAACTTCAAAAGCTGTCTCCATGGTTTCAGGCTGAACTTTTGGGTGTCAGAGCCAGGCACCACAGATAAGGGCCTATTTTCTATGTCTCTAACCCCAACACATACTTTGTGCAGTAGGTTTAGGAATGTTCACTAACAACTACAACAAAGAAACATAACATGTTTTTCTGAGGTCTATAGAAGACATCCATCTAGACAGTTTTCTAAGGATCTTTAACACTCTAAATAAACTGCCAAATCGACATTATTCAGTAGAGATCAAGCTGGCATGCAAGAAGAAATCAAGTGTACTAATATAGGAAAGGAACAAAGCAGGTGTACCAAAGAAAATCATCACTCATTTTAGAATTCTCATCTTCACAGATAACATACAAACAAGAAATAGTAAAAAGTTTAGAAAACAAAACCGACAAACAAATTCACATTAATCAATTTTGTTTAGACTAGAAAAAAAAAATTAATGTGATAGTTCTCGAAGTATTTATACAGTTCTTATTAAAATGAAGGTGACCGCTGAACAAGAATCAATCAATTTAATGGGCAACAAGAGATATAGGTTAAATCAGGGTGAAAAAAATTCTGACCTCAAAAAGCATCAAGCAGTGGAATTGGGTGCTGATGGAGACTATGGGATCAGGGGATCTTCTTTACCAAGTGGAAGAAGAGAGAACTGAGCATCTGTCAAAGATGTTCTTGGCGTGTTTATTCTGTCTCCTGATGTAAAGCCAAGTAAGCTTCATGAATTCCCTCTCACTTTTACACTGCCATGTTCCTGCAGACCCCACATTCAGTCATTTGCACTGATCTAGACAAAAAAATGCTGTACTCGCTGAGTTGCCAGAAGTATTTTTGTTTACAGTTCCAGCTCACCACAGAGCAACTGCCTGCACAGAAACACTATTGCTACAAATCCCAGGAGAGGTCCCTCACTACAACCTCTCGTCACATGCTGGCCCAAAGAGATACTGCTGTTATGACACTGCCCTCCAGCCAGAAAACCTGAAAATATCATTTTTGCCCTTTTTGAGTATTTGTAAAAGTAATGTAAATATGTAAGATCCTCATGGTCAGACAGGCTGATTGATAAAGCACTAAGAAGTGATGGAAGAATAGATTATATTCCAGGTTATATTTATTATAGAACTATTCAGAACACAGTTTCTGCTGAAAAAGTGTTTGATTATGACTAGTAAGCACTGTAATATTCTGTAGTTTTGAGACCAATTATGTAAATATTCCAGAATATTATATTTGTGTCAATAGTTGTGTGTATATCCTTATCACTGAGAAATCTTTTTTTTTCACCTCACAATCTTCTATGACCCTAATTCAAGCCATTGTATCGTAACACTGGAAGGGTTGCAATCCAATCCATTGTTGATCTGTGTTAGAGCCTTTGTTTTAAAAATGAGTTAAGATATCCTTCAAGTTTAAAGCCTAGGCCCTAACCAGGCCTTAACTTTACCTAGATAGAAGGTTTGCCACCAATCCCAAATGTTTTGTGTGTCAAAACAATGTTCAAGTCACTTTAACTTAGCAATTTGACCTCAATATAACAGCTAAAACCATCTATCAAAAACTCAAAAACAAAGCAAATTAAAAGTCTGGTTTTGCTAATAACCTAAGGCAAAGGCTATGTTTGTTTTTCCACAAAAACTTCCACTAAAGAAGGATTCAACTAAGAGTGTAAAGCCATATCAAGAACAAAAATATATTAACAACTCCAAAAATAAGAATGTGACTGTGTGAGTTAGATAAAATTATGTTAAGTCACTGAGTGAAATATTTAAAATTTAGTTTGAGATATAGTAGTGAATGACAGATGAGATGGAGGTTCTAAGGTGTTAGCTTGTCTTTGCCTTTCTTCCTTCTTCATAGTTTTGAGTAGTATTGAGTGATTAGACAGAGAAGTGTGCAGTGTGGAACACGGGTGTTTAGTTATTGGGTTAAAAGTAAAAATAAATTAGTTAGCATTTGGTAATTAAACAGTTTATACTTAAAAGGCCTTATAGACAGAGCCCTACCTTGCCATTTGCAGCTCATTAGATTAGTACGTAGAAGTGCTTATTGTCTATAAAAATGTAATATAGATAAGAAAAATAAACATCCTAAATCCAAATGTGAAAGCAGTCTCTCTGCTCATTAATCCCAATCGTGAGAAAAAGAACTGGACACTTTCACAGATCTGTACTCCATAAAGCCATAAACTAATCTGTCAATTTCCCATCTAAGTAAAACAGGTCCATCTAAATTGATAATGAAGTTGTATCATATTGAATAATAGCATAATCATATGAAAACAACCACATGTTCCTTCACAGTTAAATTGGCAAAACAGATCTGAGCTAAAGCAGAACTTTAAATGGCCTTTAAAATTCATGTCAAAAATAGCCTGGAAATTAACATGACTTTTTTCAAGATCCTGGAATATTTATACCTAAAGGACATCATCATGGACTCCAGGAAATTCTGACATACACCGTAAGATTGTTCACCTAAATAAACTGATGCTTGGAAATAAGCAACAATAATGACAACAACTACAAAAATTACTCTTTTTCCTTCTCTTTTGCAAACAGTCAATGCAAGTTGCAGTATCTTTGTTTAGTTGGCATACGTTTATTCTAACTCCATGCTGTTTCCTACTAACATCAGTTTTGAGTTAAGGATACAGCATGCCAGAGGACATGTAAACCTGAAGTGCACACTCCTCCACAACTCTTCAAATCTCTGCTATGATCTTGTTAATTTTCAGTGTCAATAGCCTGTTAACATTTATGGCGATGAAGGAGTCTACCCTCTGCCCAGACTTACAAGCAAGATCATAATGGAAACTGAGTTCCAAACTAATGAATGCAGTACCTTCCACTTAATCATGCAATCTATTTCTAGGCACTGAAAAGCTTCAATGCAAACCCTTCCCCACTGCCTTGCCACCTGACAAAAAGGTGAATACATGCTATGCTCCATAAAAACAGAACACACTGTCAACAAGGAATTCAGAAACACACACAACTCCCCAACAAACCCAGTTACATATTAGATCCAAAACACTTAGCAACTGCTTTCTCTGTTTATACATTACAGGAATTAATGAGTTTTTATCAAGAATGAATATATTTACCTTTAGGCCTCCTTTGTCATCTGGCAACATTGGGACATTTAAGGATTGCCTGCTTCTGGAACAAGGCAGAGATGATCTGTTGTTCAGTTTATTCTTGTCTTTATCTACTTGCATGCATGCTGATGCCAGTAACCTTACAAGCTCTGTGTCTGAAAGGAAGCAAATTAAGATAATGTTTGGCCTGTTTTGCTTTCCCAAACTACAGCCACTGACACTTTCCCTGTTAATCCCATAAGTAGCAATTGATCTACCTCTCAAACACAAAGCAAAGGAACCCCCAAAACTTCCTTCTTTCTTGACCTATTTTCCCATGCTTTCTCCCCACAACAAAGGCTCTTATCATTTCTCTAAAGGTATTTATCAATAAAAATAAGCATGCTACTCAGCTGGAATCAGTCATGTGTGACCAAGTGAACTGCCTCCTCTCACATTTTGAACAAGTTAAGAACAATACTGAGATGCTCCCTTTCCTCACCTGACACAGAATAGATTAAAGGAAAATGAAGACTCTTTCTTCAAGCGTAAGTTGCAGAAAAGAAGTTCAAAAGTAAATCCCAAAGAGAAAGACGATGCTCAGCCTGGACAATAGAGGAACTGAAAAGAAATGTTAAGAAAAAGGATGGACAAAAAAGAAGTAAGAAAAAAAGTAAGAGGACAAAAAAAAACAAGCATGACAGTAGACAGGAAAACAAAAAAAAATAATTCTGTAAACCTGCATTTTGTACAGGAGTCAGGTAGGATTTTCAGAAAGGCAGAGAGAACTGAATGAAAGAGAAAGAAGTAGCATGACAAACTATTCTGTCACAGAAATTAGTTCTAAAATAATTCTCTGTATTTATTGTCTCAAAGGTTCTACTATTAGTGATCTACTTTTGACATGGAAAAGAATCTGCTAGTAACCAAGATCACAGTAATATGTAAATTCAGAGACTTCATTAGCAGTAATGGTTTTAGCTTCAGATAAATCAAGTCAGTTACCAAGGAAGGTTAACAATAACAAATTATACATGTAAAACAAATTGCAACAAAAAATACTTGTTTCATTCAAGCTTCCCCAAAGCATGCTGCCTTGTCTGACAGCACACCCACTCAAACCTGAACCCTGACGGTGTGATTTATTCTCAGCCTTTGCAGAACTAGAGGGAGGTTCAGCCAGGAGTTGCCTAGTTCTGTTCCTACTGTGCTCTCCTTGTCCTGTTCCTTTGGTGTTTTTTGGCAAGGGGCAATTTCTAGCTCCTGCTCATAGCTCTGTGCTAATGACACCACAGAATACCAGTGCGTCCACAATCAAATGCCACTCAGCTGGCTCTGGTGACACAAACAGCACAGTTTCCAAGCATCTTAAGGACCAAAGGCAAGAGGAATGCACAAAATGTTAACCCATCTCATGATGCATCACCCATGAGTGTATCAGATGATACACACATCTAACCAATTAACTCAAACCCCACCACTTTCAGAGTGTCATTTCTCAGTCCAGTCCAGCCTGGACATGAGAGGATACTAGCAACTGCAATGTATTTTCTAGATTGAAAAGAATGTGTATTTGCTTATGTTGTACATTTCTCCAGAGCATTTTGAAACAGCATACCTGGATCATTCAGCAGCATTATCAGATCAAAAGCTGTGTATCCATTTCTTGCACGAAGGTTAACATCAGCTCCCTGATTTAACAAGTACTTTACAACGTTTTTGTTTCTTTAAGGGAAGAAAAAAAGACATTGATCATATTAAAGAACAAGTAAATGAAGAAAGAAGCCCCCAATACTCATTTTATAACATTATTCCTCAATCAGAGATCAGTTTTACATGTTCTACAGCTAACTTAGTGTAAAATTTTTTCACGAGCTCTTCAAAAGCTCCCACAAATCCTTTTTCAGTCACTGTTTACTCACGATGAATTACATGAATTGACATGCAGACAGTTAGCCTTAAAGGCCTAATTTGAATAGTCAGTTTCTTAAGCTGATCCTTTGGAAATTACTGCAATATATTGCTGAACACCTTTGCCATGAAAGCCAATGAATACCTAGGGCAGAAAAGCAGATGGAACAACAAAGGACATTCCAGTAGTAATCATATGCTATCACTAATACTTCAGTGCAACGTCATTTTCACAACTTGCACATTAAGAAATTGCATCCAGAAAAACCAAATTGACTGAAGATAACTTTTAAACTCCAAGCAGTACTTCACCTAATTACAGCTATAAATTATATAATTGAGCAGGCACATTATCACTTCCCTGAGGTGTTTAAAATGCAAAACCAATCAATATTAAATGCCAACTAATACAAACACCTCCAACAAAAGCTCCTCAAAGCTAGCTGCAAAAAGACACTCACCATCCTGTTCCAGTTAGCCCCTCTCCCCTCTGATACACCTGAATAAATAAGCAGGACTCCTTGTGAGTTAAAAACAATACTTAGTTCAGCCTACGAAATAACAGAACAGACAACAAAGCTAGGGAAAATATATTTAATACAAAACTCTTGAGCAGTGACTGACCTTGTACAAAATCAAACTCTGACACACATCAGCAACACAGAGAAAAACATTCTCAAGCACCAACAGGTAACTTCAACTTCTAATAATGAAGCTGAAAAATGGATCTCAACATCTCTACTTCAGAGCATCATTTCTTATACAGATGACTTTTCCACTCCTGAACTCACTCCACACAGTATCAGCCTGAAATGGAGGATTGTTACTCCTTTAACAAAAATTCTGCTTATCCTCACCACAACTCCTCTGCACATTTCCTATTACTTTTCTCCTCTTCTTTAAAACTATCATCCCTCCATCCTGCTTTCCAGTCCTGCACCTTGAGAGCCTGGAGAGACACAATTTTTTAGTGCCTCTGGCTGAGAGAGACCTTGCCTGCTCCCTCTTTCAAGCCCAGGACCCTTCATAGTATTTGTGGTCCTGAGGAAGGGTTAGCTGAGGCTCTGTGGAGGCCAAAGATTTTCAGATGTTATGAAAATTTGCAACTCTCCATGCTAAAAAAAAGGCTCAGATACAAAGCATAGAATTACAAGGATAAGTACTTATTTATGCACTTGAGGTATTCCACCCACACTAGGGCACTCTGAATGTGGCTTTACACACAGGGCTCCTGTACACTGCCAGTGTACTACCACCACTTGTACTACGATTGCTCATCAGAGTAAAACTTAGCACAGCAACTGTATTTCTGCAGCATTCATGCTGCTCTTCTACTGATCCAGATGTTTCTGGGTGCAGTCTGGCTGTCACTATTTACCTATGACACCAGACAGCACTGAGAGGGTTTCATAGATGGCTGTGATGCTGGGATTATCTTGGGTGACAAGGGGTATCTCCATGGATAGCTGTAAGTTCCCAAGAAGTCACACCCTTACTTCCAGGGCTGGGACGTCCTTCTGGTCTTTTCACTAAGATAGTGTCCTTTAGATAGCTTTACTTAAGCATGAACAATACCAAAGATTCCTAAAATTCCACTACCTCAAATGTTAATCATATTAACAAAATTACTAACAAAGCTTCCTAACTATGAAGACTGACTGATATACTAGGGAAAGGAATCTTCATAACCCAGTCCTCCAGTAAACTGAACAGCCAGTATCTGAAAACATGCAGGACTCAGCTTTGTGTACGCTTCAACAAGAGAAGTACCTGAGTACCAGCAAAAGGATATACCAGCAGTCCTGCCCATCACTTTGTGCTGGCTGCTTCTATTCCAGCTGCGTGTTGGGTGACTGCTGCTAAGTGAAACAGCTGCACCAGAAGAACTGATCTTAGTGGACTTCTGTGGAACGTCTGTCACTACTATCAATAAAGGTCCCAAGAACTGCTTCAGAAAAGTTTCACAAGGCAAACAATTTGACCTCCTATTTTTCCCCTCTTTGTTGCACTTGCACAGTCCAAGGAGATTTGCTGACCAGAAATAAAATCTGGTGCAGAATACCTGCATTTATACAATTAATGCACTATCACTGAAGAGAACCTTCACCTCGCTGAGGGCCTCTTCTACAACAACAAAGAAAAGTTCACCTTCCTAAACTGAATATCCTGTATTCAAAGAGTGCCAAGTGTATGATAGATATCACATGTGAAGTACCAGTCAGGGCAATTTCTGAGGTCTGACTCCTAACCATCTACTTAGATTTAGGAAGAAGCTTTACAGAAAATAACAATTCTTTTGGTTCCATTTCCAAAAACTCCATGAAAACTAAAAGCTGTAGGAGAACACAGGAATGGTTTTAAGACTGGTAAATGTTGCACATGGAAGGCTGATTGCCTTGAAGTTTCACAGCTTCATGTAGGCTTACAACTCTGGCAGGAGGGGTGATAGTACCTTTCACAATACTGAAAAACATCAAAGGATGGAAGCTGAAATGTACGCAAGACTCCTGGGGACAGCCTGGAGCACTATGTTCCCTGTACTTACTGAGCTTGCTTCAGGTTCCCAAATGCTCTATTCATTCTAAAGTCCAAACATCACTGAATCACAGAATAACCTGACTTAGAAGGGACCCACGAGGATCGCTGAACCCAGCTTCTGGCCCAAGAGTCACACCGTGTTTCTGAGCACTTTGTTCCAACACTCCTTGAACTCTGTCAGGCTTGGTGCTGTGACCATTCTTGTGCCCAACCACTCTGTGAGGGAAGAACCTTTTCCTAATATTTAGCCTAAACCTTGCCTTGATACTTCAGGCTACTCCCTCAGGTCCTGATCACCACAGAGATCAGTGTCTGCCTCTCCTCTTCCTCTCCTGAGGAAGTTGCAGACTACAGCAAGTTCTCCTCTCAGACTTCTTCAGGCTGAACAGACCAAGTGACCTCACACAATCTGTGCTGCCCTCCTTTGGACATTCTCTAATAGTTTAATGTCTTTCTTATACTGTGGTGATCAAAACATGACTCAGATCTGCTTCAAAAAGCTGAAGGCAGTGCAAGAGTCATGAAAAACTGAGGTCATGAGTCTCCTAACTTCTTGTAAGACCTCTCTGCTTCTAGAGTCAGTATCAAAAAGGGTTTTTTCTCCTTGGATGTAAGAAAAATTAAACTTCTTTACTGCTAGACACAAAGAGAGCACATATCTTACCCATGGTACGTGGCCTGCATTAGTGCTGTCCAGCCATGAACATTATCCTGTTTATCAATATCAGCCTTTTTCTCAACAAGGAGCTGAACAAGGGGCAGCTGCCCAGTTACAGCTGCAATCATTAAAGGAGATGCACCGTCAACATTGGTAATATTAACCTGACTCAGATCTTCATCAATGATCTCTTTAACCAGCTGAAAGTTTCCTGAAAAACAGTGATAAAACATAATCTAAATGTTAGTTAATGAGTACATCTTTCCAGCCTACGTAAAATTGCATGAGGCGCTGTATTTTCCTCATTTTCTCTCTACCTGTACACTTAAGGTAAAATCCCATTACAAGAATTATTTTTTAAATGAATGACAAAGAAAGGCTGTATGAACTGCAGTGTATCCTGCATGTGAAGACACAAAAAAAAATATTTCTATTAAATTACTGTAAGATTATGTCATGTAAGGAAAATTGATAGTACTGAGGCACCATGACTTTTCCTTCAAAGATCCCTGTTCCATTTCCACAGGCTGCAACCACAGAACTAAGGATTTTAGACTCTAAGTAGGTGGATGCAAAGGCACTCTAAAAGGTGTTGGAGGCCATCCACTGCCTTAAACAGGTAGAATAATGCCCTGTCTCACACTGACCCTTAAGTTCCTCTTACAGAGATAGTTCACTGCTTCTAAAAACTTCTGCTGATAAAATTCCACAAGATCACATGGAGTTTACTCCAGCGTTCAACTTTCTTATATTCTCAATGATCCTTTTTTCTGCCTCCTGTATTTGAGCTATGCCTCCAATACAAAACTTCCCTACTCCTTGCTCAAGAGTGAAGTTGTTTGTCATCATTAGTCATCTTTGCAGTTCTTTAAAAGTTAACCTAATTTTCAGGTTTCCACATAAAGGAGCTGCTAGTCACTTGAGTTCCTGTCTAGATTAGGAAAAGCAGTATGAAATACATTACAGAACATATTTGAACAAGGTTGTGTGTTTTTTCCTAAATCTTGAAGTAGGACCACTTTTAAGATTTGTATGAGGTATTCAGGATTACCTTAAACAGCGAGCTTAAGCTTACCTACGTCCTGCATTTTTTTGATGTCCTATGGCAGGCAAAAGCAGAGAAGAAGATAAAGAAAAAAAAAACAACTGCGTGACTGTGTGTACCACCACAGGAACAGGGGCAAGAACAAGTAAATCATCAACTGCCATGCAAATGGAAAAATCTTCACCTTTATAAAGACCTTCAGAAGGTAAACTACTTCATGGCATAGGCTGCTTTCAACTCAATCACAGGCATGAACATTTTCCTTGGAAAGTCAGTCAGAATCCCAGACAAACCCTGAAGCCACTTGAATGCACTCACTGAAACTCACACCCACCAATGCCACTCAGCTAATTTCTTGGAATGGGAACGATAGAAAAGCACAGAACTATTATTTGTATGTTCCAATTTGGTAAAAGACAGCAGGTGACTTTTTTAACACAGACCCAGAGCACAGACTTTGTTAAACAGAAACCCTGGAACCTACAGAGACGCCAGAATTTACTTTGAACCCTGGACACTCCTTAACCTAATGCGTTGCTTTTTTAACAGTGCTGCCATCCATAGTCAAGTAAAAAGCTGAAACTCAGTGTGCTGAGCAGTATTTATTTGGACCCTCCTATAATATTTCTTCTGACCCAACACTAACATCTATAAATCTCAAAAATCACAGGGGTAGAAGAAGGGCACATGATCACTCTAAAAATCTAATAGACTTGAGGCTTTCCCACAAAGATGTTTTGGTAGCTCACATGTGAAAAGTGGGAACACAAAAATCATGTTTCCCATGCTATCAAACAGACATGTTTGATAGACAAAACTAGACAGGGTGGAAGAATCAGGCAGTACTTACCGAGTTTCAAAGCATTAAAGACATCAGGTTGACTCTTTTCTGAATCTGAAAGAATATAAACATTCCAATTAGCAATCGGAAAAAAAAAAAAAGGCAAAAATTTCTAGTAGAATTTTTAAAGGAAAAACTATTAAAAATTTAAACCACTCTAAAACATATGTTTAGGCATGCATTTAATAAGAACAAAAAAAATTATTGACAACTTCTTTATTACCTTTGGCAAGAATGACTCACCTGTAAGGTCCTCTGTGCAGAGCTAAAGCTAGAAACTACAATAAGGCACTAGCACAGGCTTTTCAATTTGGAAATGCTTTTGTTTCCTGCTTGGAAGTCCAAAATATCCACTAAAGAACTACAATATGGGTCTGTGATCTGGTAAAATCCCTTGTACAATAGCAAACACTCAAACAATACGGGATTATTTTGAAAGGTGACTCAAAAGGAGTTTTACAAGCTGCTCCAGTTTTATTTCCTCTTGAGTATTTCCAGGTTAATTTGGAAAGGTCACAAAAATAATAGTGTCAATTTACTTGTGAAATTATATTCTTCAGTTCCCAGATAACCATCCCCATAATAAGAACTGTAATTACTACAAATTGAAATATTTTGAGTGAAGAATCATTCTTTTTACATGGCTTACCAGTGCTTCAAAATTTCTGACACTATATAAGATGAGGGAAAAATAGTGCCATATTTTTCACCTTCCACTCATGCCAGAAAATACCATCATCTATCTTCCAAATCATTACAGACAAATTATTACTGCAGAATTAATGGGGCAACAAAATTTTATGGAAAACAAGGAGACACTGAGAGATTTCATTAGCCCAATTCTGGCGTTTTTATGAAATACAGAGAAGGTTTATGTTCACAGTTTGATTCCTGAGGAAGTCACCTTAATATGCTGAACAAAAACAATTGCTGAAAAGCCAAAAATACTCCAAGAAACTCTTATTTTAAGACCAGGAAATAAAGTGATAGGTCCTACATTTTTTCCTGATTCAGAAAGTGGTCATATAGAAGGAACTGTGTATATGAGCTCACCCCTGTAAAACAGATTTCTAAAGACTAGTTTAGGAAGGGAGCAGGCTCCATACTTGCCATGTGAAAGCCCTGGAAGAGAGGCAGTTTCAGGGAGCAGACCTTGAGAAGATGCCAGAAGGAAAGACTGCCATCTGGGTAAGCCTATGTAAGGACAAGGACAGGAACACTCAAGCCGTTCCAGGTAGTTCTGAATTTGCTACTAAGAACAGCAGTGGGAAGAGAGCTGCTTTCTTCTAGGAGGCAATTCACCCTACCTACGCCAATGGATCAGATGAAAAGCTCCTTTTTTCCTGTCTTCCATATGACAGAAATTATCTTTCTTCTTCACAAGGTATTCAAGATTCCAGCGCCAGGAGGAGACTGAAGTATGGTCAAAAACCAATGCAGAAATTTGTGTGGAAGAATAATGTTTTTACTCCCCTCTCTGCCCAAATGAGTTACTACCCTCCTGCTGATAGAAATTCCCCCCCAGCACAATTGACAAACATTAATCTTTAAAGCAAGCCCAGTCCCCTCACTTAAACAGGGTCCTTCAATTCTTCAAGTCATATGACCACAGAACATTTTCAAGATTCACAAGGCCATCTCTGCCTGCACATATATCCTGTACATGCAGACACTAGGACACTAGTGAATCCCATGGATCTCTGTGTACTCTATCCAACTGATGTCTGCTTTTCAAGAGACTGGTCATGAGCAAACATCTACAATGAATCAGTTCTGCCTGGCAGCATGGCTGCATGAAAGCTCCAATAACCTATAAGTCAATATCTGAGTTAACATCTTCTCTACAGCAGAAACAGATGTCTAATTTTTGGCCTTATTTCTTCAAGTACAAGGAAAGCTTGACCTGCAGGAGTGACACCAAATGTAGACAACAGTTTTGGACATGTCCACATGGCAGTGGGAAGTGATCCTTCTAGAGCTAGCCACATACTTACGTTTCATAGCAAGCAGTCCAAAACTGGAAAATCCAGCTCTTTCAAACCTTTTTGTTAAGCACTTCCCTCTGCTGGTTTGCATAAATATCTTGAAAATATTTATTGCATAAATATCTTGAAAAGTGTCCCCAAACCAGCCACATACAGACAAGAATTTTATCCTAACATGGAAAAAAATCTGCTGAAGTTGGGCACTCATACCTCTGCTGAAGAAGGTGTGCCTACCCCAACACTTTCAAAAATCCAGCTGCAAATTACGTCTGCCCATACAAAATAAGCTCCTCAATTTCTAAATACACAATCAGAAGTGCAAGAAAGTGAGAAAAAAAATAACATTCCATACCTGCCTGAGGCCTGATGGTTGTGAGAGATTCCAAATAGTCCTTCATGTCTTTGTGTTTGAAACCAACAGAGATTTCAAAAGGTGTTTTATGTAGTACATTCAAGTGATCAGGATTGGCACCTTTCTCTATGAGCTGCTGTGCCAAGCACACCTTTCCACTAACAGCTGCCAGCATTAAAGGACTCCAGCCCATTGTCTTTAAAGAGTAGTTACAATCAGCTCCCCAGTCTAGCAGCAGATGTACTACTGCCTCATGCCCATGCTGAGCAGCTGCCATCAGTGGAGTGATATCAGGAAGGTCGTCTCTGCTGCTGTTAAGTACATTTGTGCTAAAATGGTCGTAATTGTCCACAAAAGCTCCGGATTCCAGCAAGAATTTCACCATGCTGATGTGACCGCCTCTGGAAGCCATTGTGAGGACACTGGCTCCTAACTTGTTCTGCGCATTGAGATCAGCACCATTCTCCAGCAAGATGTGGGCCACATTTAGATGTCCAAACCTTGGGAGAAAGAGATACGGAAGAGAATTAACACCTTGAATTACAAAAAACAACATACTCTGAACCTAGAAAACTTAGTTACCAAATTTGCCTATTGACTAATATGTATACTTTGAGGGATCATACACACATCTCTGAATATGACAATTGGCACCTTTCTGGAGGAGAGCAATCATCAGCTGAGGACTGTAAACTAAACCATTCCACATGTACCAGTGACCATACTCATAAAGCAGGCACCTATTGAAGAGGATGGTCTGCTCAAAGCAACGAAGTGCCAGCCTCATTTCCTGCTGCAGGGCACCAACTCATAACTTTCATGACCCAGAGCATCACATGTCATCCTCTTATTTCCACAGCTGTACCACATTAACAGATCAAAGCCAGCTTGTTTCCAGAGATCTTTATTAAGTACCCTCATTACTATTGAACAACTGGAATGAAAACTGCAAAGAGTCAGTGCTAACTATGGAAAAAAAGACCATTTTATCAACTGGAGAGTCAGTCTTCTATATTTGTATTATCCCTTGTTTTCCAGTTGTTAACTACCAATGAAATCCCACAATGGAAGAAGACTCAGTGAACACAGATGTGCCCATGAAGCTCAGAGAAGAACACGGTGAATGACCATCACTGTTGTAAAGTTAGCTGAACTTCCCTCAATACCAAGGAGACTAGAGGTGATCTTTAAGAGAAATGGCTTACAAGCAGAGTGGGACAACTGGCCGTGTGAATGGCCTTCCCTAAAACAATCAGTGGAAAGTATTCTGCTCCTCAGTCAGAAAGACCACATGGTCACATACACAGCACAACACCAAGCACCAAAACGGAGCAACCAGAAAATGAATTTTAAGAAAGGCGCTTGAGTTGGCTTCCAGCCGCATATTGTTTCCTGCTAATTTGGGATACCCAGTGCATAAGCGGACACAAGCATGCAGCCAGAACAACCACGAACTCCCGCAGCTAGAATGCAAAGAGTAAATTTATTTGTTATCTCAGGAACGTGGGGATCTCCAAAGCAACACACAGACAGAGATAGAGAAGTTGAGAAGCACTCACCATTACCAGCTCATGCTAAAGGACCACTGGCCTGCAGTTCACACAAGGCTCCTCAAGAATTACTTCTGTCTGCAAGATGACTTGAGTGACTTACAATCCTCCTCAGCAGTTTTGTGTTTTTTAACCCATTCCTTCCAACACCCAGCATTATGGTGATGAGAATACAGGGACTGGTAATGGGTATGCCATGTGATTCAAATGTCTGTTGCAGCTGCTATGTCAGGCTTGCACTATGATTTCAAGAGACTGCTGTATTACACGGCTAAGTTAAAACCTTGTAATATCAAGTATCTTCCAATAAGGAAACCTAGCACCAAACCCTCCTTGTGTGGAATATCTACAAGAACTTGATCAGAGTACTGAACTCTGACACCAGTTTTACCAGCAAACCAGTTTTGATATCACTTGAATGTCAGAGGCTCTGCTAGTTTGTCAGTAAGCAAAAGACAATCATGTAAGCCATACACCAAATCAGTCAATTAGCAGTGAGAAAATGGCAACCCCATATTTTAATATTTTATTAAATATATTTTATTAAATATGTTTTATTAAAATATATTTTAATAAATGCAATACCTTGACAGGATGTGTGGGTCATACTCTTGTTGCAGGTATCATGCACTACTAATGCTCCTGCACAGTGTATTTAGCACAACCCAACTTTGACCCTGAAGGCAGCCTTTGTACACAACAGCAAAGTAAATGTTAGTTGAGGAAACCCCCAAAAATGTTACTAACCACTTAAAGCAACCACGAGCCCCAAAGTCCTTAGCTTCCTTCCAGAAAGTACACAGTTGCAGGAGGAAGCCTCTGGAGTCTGTGTACTCCCGAGGACTATCCTGGTACCCTTCACTGCATCACCTCAGTAGAGCTTGCAACCCCTGCACGCAGTTAACTTTGTATATATATACTACCTCCTGTTCAATTGCAATACAGCTAATCACAGCCAGAAAATTTAACAGCTACATAAGTCTAAAGCCTACCTTTGTACAAACACTGTGTTTCTTTTCTGGTTATCCATTAAAAAGAAAAGAGAAACATGTTCCTCTACTATATATACAGTACTTTTCAAACGTCAGCCAGTAATTTCTTGAAAGCAGTGAGAGGGGTTATACTCATCTGACTTTATAGTTTTTAGGGAATGAGCATATGGTTTTCATTAAAGGGAAAAAAAATCTTAAACTTTTTCTGTAACTTTTTTCTTTTTTTTTCAACTTGCATAAAGTAACCAAATTGCTGAACCTTGTCTTCCTTGTTCTTACCGGGAAACCAGCTGTGTGACTCATTCTTTGGGAACTTTCTCTGGCCATTAATTGAAAAGAGAAATGTTGACTTTGAAATGGATTCTTTTCTTCCAAGTACTTCAATGTTATGAAATTAAAAAAAACCAACCAAAAAAAAAAAAAAAAAACCAACAAAAAAACAAAACTAAAAAAAACCAAAACCAAACCACCACCACCAGAACAACAAAAACCATTTCTTCTCTTGGTTAAGCATTCAGTTATTATAGGGCAGCAATGCCCTCCAACCCTGCAAAACACACCTGTGAGCGCAAGGTGTCCTTGTAGGAATAAAGACAAGCACCAACACCAACATTAGCAACACGGGAACCTACCACAGTCCAGTGGTAGGAGTGGGTTACGCAAAAGACAGCATCACCGATGCAGAAAACAACGGTGTGTCATTAAAAACCCTCAGCAATGGTTTTCCCTATCCTCCAGCAAGACACCTAGGCAAACGTGGGCAAGTCAAGTGAAACTGCTTGTTTCTGTTCACTTCAATATGTTTTACGTCAGATGTAGTTTTCAATAAGGCACACACATACAAAAAAAAAACCACCAAAAAAACAAAAAAACACTAATATAAAAAAAAAAAACATGGAAAATGAAGTAAGGCTAGGTGCATATACTTATTGTCACAGAGCAGTATTTCGTGTTCACCTTATCTCCAATTTTGCGCTGGCTTAACCAAGAAACAGCATGCACTGCTTCAAACACCGCGTCGTTAACATGTAAAGTTTCTAACGCCCCAGGATAACACTCAGCCAAGTCTACACTGGACAGCCCTTCCTCACCCACGCCGATCCCCCGGGACAACTCCGGGCTCCACCGGCGACGACCGACCGCGGCCCTCAACATGGCGCCCGCCCTCTCCCTCTCCCCCACGCTG